GTAAAGGAATAAAGTTGAGACTATCCGGTAAACCTTTTCGTTTCCTTTCTTTGGCAGTCCACAAGTCACTGTGGCAAGACAACGAATGATAAAAGAAGAATGCTGACTGGATACAGCATCATTCCAGTTATCACATAACAACTCAGCGAATTTCTCCACGAGCTGAAAATCACAATAACGTTAATTCACGTTCGTTGTAGAATGTGTTAGGACGTAATCGCAATAATGAGCTTACTTGAACTTGTTGATTGTTGCTTATAGGCCGTAGCGCATAAAGCAAAGTTTCAATAGTTCTAGCAGATTGACCAGAGTAAAGGAGATCTAAGAGTCGTTTATGCTTGAGTCGCGCTAGCCCTGATAGGAACAATGTCGCCCCATGCTGTGAAGAGCCTGGATATGTAAGCGTACAGTGGTTGTCAGTAAGAAGAATCACAAAATTTAATTCAACTTTAACAAAAAAATCACCCCTTAATTTTCTACTCTTTTTATGCATAGTGCTTAATAGATTTACATAAGGCATTTGCAGCTTTCTCAGTAATATATACGTTTATAAAAAAGAACTTTAGACAAAAAGAGCAAAAATTATGAATGGATTCCAAGTCAGCCTGCAAGCACAATTCTTTCGTTTCAAAAAAAAATTAGTGAAGAGCAAATCTCTTCCATGAATATTCTACAAGGCCTAGCCAAACATAGAATTAGAGCAAACCTATAGAAAATATAACAAACCAACCGAATACACTTTCTACAACAATGCATGAGTCTCTGAACATCAAAAGCTTTTCCTCTTCTGCGGAGCATTCTTCAGCGCACTTATCCATAACGACATTCTCTAAACACCCAGATGGAAGTCAGACACTGCTTCATCGTTAGAGACAGTAAACTTGTTTAGCTAACCTATGCGCCCTTCAGTAATTTTTATTTGTTCGATGTTCTTTAGATAAGCAACCAATTCACTAGGATAAGCTTCTTTATCCTCTTGACCATTGCTTTGCTCTCCGGTACCACCTTCTGCAGGTGTACTGTGATACTCGTTATCCTGCAAATATGAACTAAAGATTAGCACTGCATCTAGGGAATCCGCGAAATTTACTTGACGATAATCGCCTCCACCAAAATGCCGG